ACAGTGGTACTGTAATAAAATTGATCAATATAAAAAACAGAGTGAACGCACCTCCGGAAAATCTCCCCTTCGCGAGCTCTTGCATGATGTACTGCGTGCGTTGGTTGCTGCTGCCTGCTCCAGCTGCTGTCGCTTGCCCTTGATCAAGCTAATCGCGCTGGTGCTGATGCTGTAGCGGCGGGCAATCTCGGCATACGTCGTCTTCTCGTCCAAGAGCTTGAGAACCTCAAGCTGCTGGCCGAAGTTGAGCCGCGTGCGCGTCGATTTTCCCGCTTTCCCGGCTGCTTTCCCGGCTGGCTTGGTCTTTTTCGCCGCGGCGCCATCTCCGGCAAGTTCGGATTCGGGCGAGGCACGCTTAGGCTGTTTCGAGGAGCCGGGTGTCTTCTGCTTCTTGGCGATGCACGGGTTGCAGACGCGGTGTATTTCTTGGCCGCCCTCCTCCTCTGGTTCACCACATATCCCATGAAGCCTGCCACCACAGCCAAGGCGACACTCGTGCCCATCTTCCTCTCCCAGTGGTCGGTTCGGGAGTTTACACAATTCTTGGTCCGCGCAGACTAGCATGATACGTGTGGCGCCCACTACTGAGAGTGTGTGTGGCCAGGTGTGGTACAGCAGTATAGTGGGGGCCCACTAGTTGGAACTGCCACCATTGGGTGTGTGCGATGCCCGAAATGCCACTATTGAGGGCCCCGTTCTCAATAGTGGCAACGTGCCACTATATCGGGTTGAGATTTTGCCCGAATCCCATGAAGCCTGCCACCACAGCCAAGGCGACACTCGTGCCCATCTTCCTCTCCCAGTGGTCGGTTCGGGAGTTTACACAATTCTTGGTCCGCGCAGACTAGCATGATACGTGTGGCGCCCACTACTGAGAGTGTGTGTGGCCAGGTGTGGTACAGCAGTATAGTGGGGGCCCACTAGTTGGAACTGCCACCATTGGGTGTGTGTGATGCCCGAAATGCCACTATTGAGGGCCCCGTTCTCAATAGTGGCAACGTGCCACTATATCGGGTTGAGATTTTGCCCGAATCCCATGAAGCCTGCCACCACAGCCAAGGCGACACTCGTGCCCATCTTCCTCTCCCAGTGGTCGGTTCGGGAGTTTACACAATTCTTGGTCCGCGCAGACTAGCATGATACGTGTGGCGCCCACTACTGAGAGTGTGTGTGGCCAGGTGTGGTACAGCAGTATAGTGGGGGCCCACTAGTTGGAACTGCCACNCTTCCGAAACGGCTGATGTTCGGCGAGTTGGTGGGAGGGGTTGTCATCGGCCATAATGACCCGGAGCAGAACTGGCTGACATGCCTGAAGGACGACATGAAGATGTTCGAAGCCAGGTACGGCTCCACGACCGACAAGCCGAGCGTCTTCGGAGTCCCGAAGTTAGTCTGGAG